TAAATTTTCATCAGAAAATGTTGATGATCATTTTTTGAGATCCATGTCCCTTCAGGACGTTGACGATTATGACTCGTCACGGTTATTTTTCTTTATCAACTGTGAATTGTTATGGATTCTTAGGAAAGATAGCGGAGTAGTTTCTCGTTGCCTTCTTCACGTTTTGGAATTCAGAGTTTTTCTTCTCTAAGAGAAGACTGGTTGTCGCCCAAGACCAGAGAGTTCAATCAACCTTGCTATTTAACCCATAGCTGGTTGGGAGAAATGGATTCATGTCGTTTCCATGGTCATTTGTGCGAAAGTGAAAGCAACAGGCTAGGCCGGAATTTGAACTCGGCTCGCCGATTCTACTTTCAGCGCTTATAACCGTTACACCAACCGATACAATCATTGCCACTTTTGTAATAGTTTTGGCACTGGCGTCGTTGAGATGAGCAGCATATTAATGCAGACATATTTGGAGGTTATAGATGCAAAACAGGAACGCAACCATGACGTCACATGTTGTGCGCATGCATATGAAAGGCTTATCTATATTAATTTATTATCTTTAGTGATCTGAACAAACCGCCATTATTACCTATCCTCGACCGAACATTTTCGTGACATTCGAAATTAATGTCTATAAAAAATTAACTGAGTATTATAAAAGGCCAAACGATCGAGTGGCTTGAGGTGGACTGGTATGTAATCAAAAAGTATCGGGGTTGTTGCTATGGTAACGGAATTGGCCCTTGAACTCTGTTGCGTGTACACACTAAGTTATAACGTCTTCGCTCAATTCCGTTGTTTATAGCAGTGCTTGGAAGGAAAGTGAGTAGAGGGTGGTCGTCTCATCACACCACATGCAGCAGTTTTGAGCCAAGAACAACATTCCCCGGGTTCGACAATCATCATAGAAGGGTAGGAAGATAGTAATACCACTTTCAAATAAAGAAAAAAAAATCAACATATAAAACGTTGACTTTTTACCTGGACTCGAACACTGACTGTTGGAGCCGGTGGGAATTACGTTAAACGCGATGCCGTCCAAACCTCATTATTATTATTATTATCATTAATAATAATAATGATAATTCCAGGCATTGGAAATTCTATGAGGTGCCTTTGCAACTTAAGAACAGTGTAATAACTTTAAAAGCACATGCAGTGCTCTAGCAATTTTCCAGCCAAAATGACGAAAAATATACTTTGGATTTTATATGCGAAGATAAGACATCCGGTTTATCTAGACGCCATAGGCAACTTGTACCTAACCCAGGCATCTCGTTAAAGGGTTTTTCAGCGGTAGGGGATTGAATAGGAATTTCTACACTAAAATTAGTTCACATCACAGCGGGTGGGGGGGACAATAATTTTCAGGGTTGGGTCTGCGAATGAATAAAATAGATGATTTTTTTTTTACTTGTTGGGGGCCTGAGCTAACTTAACTCTAGAATTCCGTAATATTAAATGCCTTCAAATGTCTTCAAATACGATATTAATCCATGAGTAATCCTAGACTAATTTCCTCATCTTTGACGATACCATGAAACGAGGAAAATATCCAAATAATTCGAATGATAATGAAAATTTCGAAGTTTATCTCTCCAACAAAGAAAATATCGCATATATGATTGAAAGTCAAGAATATCTACATTTATAACACAGATATATTATAGCGAAAATGTGGATATTTTTTTTTACATACCTTCTTATTTTAAGAGCTATTATTTACAAATTATATATTATTTACAGATTTAAAGTTTTATCTCATTCTACAAATTTCTAAAACTTGTTCAAAAGCGCCATAATTCTTAAATTCCAGACGTCACAAGAGACAGTTTTCCTTGTGGACAAATATTCTCCTTCTGCCACCATGCTATCTTTGTCTTCTCGACTCCAATGACCAACATTTCATACAACTCTTTCAATAAATACAATAGAAAACTTACTATTCTACCATTTTTTTAATCATTTCACCCCAAGCAAGGCAATAAATCCACTAGGACGCAAGAAATTTCTAAGTGTTAGAGAAGATGAGAAAATTACGATTAAGAGCACAAGTTGACAGAGAAGCAAGTAGATGGAAGAGAGTTCCACAGGCGAGAAGTGTATAGAAAATTTTAAAATCTATGACACAAAGTTGGCAAACACTAGGGACATACATTTTGTTGTCATTAGGTCTATTTTTGGGGAGTGTTTGCATATCTTTCCCGCCCATCAGCGGATTTACAAACTTTCCCGCAACGTGTCATGAACTCTTAGTACTTTTTTAATCATTACAACTCTTGTAAAGGCAATAGAAAACTTACTATTCTACAGTTTTTAATCATTTCACCCCAAGCAAGGCAATAAATCCACTAGGACGCAAGAGGTTACTGAGTGTTAGAGAATATGAGAAAAACTATTATTAAGGAGAGAGGACAATAAAAGAACAAGAATTAAGAAGATAAAAGATAACGATTGACATTGCATTTAAATTTTTGAAGATCAAAAGTGACTAGGAAGAAAGTAGCCGGAAGAGAGTTCCACAAGCGAGAAGTACGATAGAAGAAACAGTTAACATAGAACTTACGGTTCTATTTAGCCATTTCAACAGTAAAATGATGAGACCTTTCCGCCAATCTAGTATTGCGCTTAAATTCATAAAGTCTAGCGACCATAGAGGAAATTTTATCCAAACAATTACGATGAAATTATTTATAAGAAAAGACACAGGGCATTTATTTCTCTTTCAGGATATTCCTGAGAATGACAAGAGAATGACAAGAGAATGCTAAAAACTGATAGAACCAACGATTAAACGATGAATAAATTCTACATAGTTTTGAGCCAACCATCCGTTCCCTTCCTGAAAAACAAGAGAAATTACATAAAAAAATGAATTTATCGTATTTAAAAATACATGTATGACTGAAAAACTGCTACCCAAATATACACATGGTGAATCACACCTATCCTATAGTTATAGACTCTCCTGCCTAACATAATTAGGAGTAGTAAGAGAAACGACGGTCAGTCGATGTCCGTCGATGTCGAACCACAGTAGTCGAATACGAAAGTAGTCAGCGACCACAACAAGATTACTCTGCTTAATATCTATTATATCAAGTTCTTAACGTTTTGTACGTCGGACCTATTTTAGGACCGATTTACTACAAATACGAGCCTCTACTGCGAAATAACTCCACAACAGTATATGAGATTGATTAGTTTTCTACGGCTTATCAACCCTTTGCAGGTTATTTAAAGGCAGAAAATATTTTTTAGATTATAAGAATATATTTTGGTGATAATAATGGTTTACAAGTCTTACTAATTTCTTTTTTTAATTTCTTCTGCTTAATCAGTAGATTGATTGATTGATTCGTTTTCTACGACTTATCAACCCTTTGCAGGTTATTTAAAGTCAGAAAATATTTTTAGATTGTAAGAATTTTTTTGAGACAATAATGGTTTAGTGATATAAGTTTATACAAATTAACCCATAGCTGGGGGAGAAAAGGTGGAGTCATACTTTTCTCAATGGCATTTACAAGTAAGTGTATATAATGAACCCGACTGAAAATGGAACTCGGCTCTCTGAATGACAATTCTGAGCCATTATCCATAACACAGCTCGCACATCCAAGCTTACAGCACCATCTAGGTACTGACCAGGCTCGATGTTGCATCACTTCGATGGTCGTACGGAAACCTATATATGTCCGAGCGCTTTCGGCAATAGTTTAGTCATTATCAAGGATGATTTTATTTGTATTTTTTAAACTTTTGACAGTGGCTTGATGTATAACCGAAATAGCTCTGATATACAGAACATTAGGACAATTTCTACAGAATTTATGTCCAGAAAAGAAGAAAATTAAAAGAACGCAAGAAAAATTAAATAAAAAATATAACCGCAGTACCTTGTCAGACGTTTCTAATGAAACTTGCCTAAAAGAGGAATTGCTACACAAATACACATACACACACACACACACACACACACACACACACACACACACACACACATATATATATATATATATATATAAATATATATATATATATGCATGTTTCATTAAAAACGACAGACAAGGTACTACGGTTAAGCTTTTTATTTAATTTTTCTTGTGTTCTAACAAGAGCTTTCTTTTCTGGACAAAGGGTATGTAAGAACTGTACAAATGTTTCATATTTCCGAGCGCTTTCGGCTATACCTTTAGCCATTATCAAGGATGATTTGATTTTTCAGCTTAATTGAGTGTGTGCGTTCCATGTATATATTAGTGTGTGGTAGGGATGTTTTTAATTATTTCCGAATACGGTTAGCACATTTTGGCTTTGTTCGTAGTTAATATTGTTAAGAGTTGGCTTTTTCTTTTTTATTATTAAAGCTTCCATTATTTTTAGTCTTTTTTGCAGCTGGATGCAGTTAATATATTTGTGTTTTCTTACTCTTAGACACCCTTTGTCCAGAAAAGAAAGCTCTTGTTAGAACACAAGAAAAATTAAATAAAAAGTTTAACCGTAGTACCTTGTCTGTCGTTTTTAATGAAACATGCATAAAGGAAGGATTGCTGCCTAAATATACAACTATATATATATATATATATAGAGAGAGAGAGAGAGAGAGATTTTCAACCTTTGGAAGTAAAGTCTGATGATCCAGAGCCCTTTTAAAGGGGTTGGGGTGAAATGACTTATTACATATAACCTTAAAGTGGTCTGTTTTTATTCAAATATATATATATATATATATATTGCCTGGTAGTAAATTTGATAAAATTTATATTGGTGAAACACAACGAAATTAAAAAAAAACATCTATGAGCACAAAAGAGCTAGAAAAATCTTAGATAAATTAAATTCTTTATTCTCCCAATATGCAACATTCAAACCATCCTTTTGATTTTAAAAAGACCAAAATGGTAAATGATAAATCATTTAGAAGAATTATTGAATCCGCTCTGATATCACGATTCATTTAGATTTATCAAATATTACGTTTTTATAACATGACACCTTTTCTCGGCCGACGATCAAATTACTCTGAAAGCACTGATTCTCGTTCGATCACTGAAGATAAACAATGTTGAACTTGGTTAGTACTCAGACGGGTCACCACTTGGGAAAACCCAGTATTGTAAGCTATCCGAAATGTTTTCCCCGCTTTAAATAACTCACAGAGACAGATAAAACGTAAAAAATCAATTCATCACCTTTTCTGGCTAAGAAAAACACTGAAAGAAAATATTAAAATAGTTACTGCTTAAACGCCTTAATTAAAAATGTTATTTTAATTTTGATTTTTTCATACCTAAATAATATTATCAAAATTATAATGTAAATTATATGTATTCGGCAACTATGGATTTTCGTGTTGTAGAGTTGTTTTCACAGGGGAGGCTTGTATTTCAATAAGTCGTCCTAAATTAGGTTCGACGTACAAAACGTTAGGAACTTGAAATAAAAGTTAATGACGCAGCAATCTAGTTGTGATGGTTGATACTTCAATGTCCGACATCGACTGACTCATTCAACACCACTGAGCTCAACTGGCGACCGCTACTACTACTACTACTACTACTTATTATGTGTGGGAGAGTCTATTAATAATAGAATAGGTACGTTCAGGTATGACATTTCGTGTCCGAAAAAAAAAAAACTGAGTGTCAGAAGGACAGTTTTTCCTATGACACTGTTTTTTATTTTAACTCTTTTCACCTTTCGGCAATGTTTATTGTTTCAAAAACCTCTAAACCAAAACCTCTAAGTTCAAAATCCGCCGAGGAATGTGAACCGGAAATAATGTCAGACTGCATTTTTTGAATCCACTCGTCTACTAAAGTCGCTAGATAATACCTGTTGCAGATCCCCGCTCAGGCACATTTGCATCTGTTCAATACCTACTGAATCAACCGGTGGTTTATACTGCAGCTACGCTGAGCGGTCCTTAGTTACAGTTTTTGGGAGAGAACGCATAATCTGGCGTGATCAGTAGTTGAACAAGGCCAGTACGCTCAAACCCTCGGCCACGATGACTTGTGACTTTATTCTAGCACAACCTTTGACGATTTCTGAACAGTTTTCTCTACCCAATTTCCCTTACAAGGTTTAGGTTAACAAACTGCGGTAAGGCTTTCATGTACACCCCAAATGGCATCGCACACTGGGGTTATCTTCTGGGGCCAATATTATCTAAAAAGCCAGCTCTTTGCGAAATCAAATTCGATGATATTCGAAATTAACTGCATCAGTTTAGAGATTACATCTACAAAATTGTCTAATTTAATTTTGAGAAAAAAATTAAAATACCTCTTTATAATTAGGCCTATAGAATTAATAAATAAAGCATATATATTGACTGAATAAATAAGATTAACATTCAGGAGTTGGAATTAGTAAATACTAAATATTTCAAATACCTCATCGTATGGATCAGATATAACAAATTTAGTATAGAAGATGAGGGAAATTGAATATAAAATAAGCTGCGCCACATGTAGTTTCGCTCATTACCGCCAATTGCCACAAAGCCAAAGCATCAAACTAAAAATGATGAACGCAAAGACTTCAAACGGTTTGAAAAGAAAAGACAATTCCTCATCAGCCAAAGTTATATAAAATCTCCAGTTATGTCTCATCTCACATTTCACAGAAAATAAAAATGAAAAAATTTAAGCAATCATAAAATTATCTAAAAACGAAGAACGACTATTACAATGCTTGTAAAATATCTCAGTAGTAGCATGGTCTAAAAGCAACTGCTCAACCTGTTGTACATGTTCTGTATTAGAAAACAGATGTTACTTCCTGTCTGGGATAACGGCATCATGTCTGGGCGTACAATGTCCTTGTTTTTAACGTCGAAAGAAATCGTTTAACAAACGAAAGTTCACTAACACAAACGACTTTTGCTGATATGATGTTCTGCGTCCTAACATGTCCGGTTAAGAATCTTTATTTTCGATACTCGCTGTTCGCTAAACTAAGCACCGCCATTTTATAAATAAACATAAGTAGGCTTAACACAGAAAAAAATCTAATGTAATATAAATGAAAAAAATATATAGACATCTTTATCATATATATATATATATATATATATATATATATATGTATTACTTAACCCTATTTTTAGTAAATACTCAAATTTGAGTAAACGCTCTGTTTGTTTAATAAACAGTATATTTATTATTTTCGTCTACCAGCCTGAATATTAAGTGAAAAATAAGCGCTCGTCGGCAAAATTCGAACCTGCGCTTCCCTTGGGGAAACCGTCATAAGATCTCACGTGCTTTGATCTCTCGGCTACAGAGTGCGTCACGACCAAGCAAAGTTAATAGTGCCTTTAAACAGATTTTTCTCTAACTCTTGAAATAAACACCTCTGTTCAAGTTTGTACCTTAACGTAAACAAAGCAATTTGTAAAGAAAGGGAATGGATTTTTCATTTATTAATCGGACAGATTTTTATTAATAACTTAAAGATTATTTTTAGTGGTTACTCGTATTTGAGTAGACATTCTGTTTATTTATTAAATAGAATATTTATTTATTTTCATCTACGGGTTTGCTACCAATAATGTCTATTACTATTAAATCTAGTTTCAATGCATTTTTATAGTAAATATTCATCTATTATGCTAATAATATTTTTATTATCTCAGCTTGATTCCTGATCCCTAGAAATCCCTTTCGTCCTGAGTTTCAATGCACCATTCCTATAATAAATATTTATCTATTATGCATAAATAGATAGAACCTCTGAGTAACACTCGCGTTAATTCCTGACCACTAACTCATTCTTGCTTATTTTCAATATATTTCTATTGTAAATTTTGTATCGTTTTACATATGACATTCCTATTATGTCAGTAACACTTGTATTATTCCATGGCCACTGACTATACCGTTCTTCTTTGTTTCCAATGCATTTCTATAGTAAAAAGTATAATATCTATTATACATACAATAATAGACTTATTCTCTTCGTAATGCTGTATTAATTCATGATTTCTAACATTCCCTTTCTCCTTGATTTTCAATGCATTTCTACAGTAAAAATTAATCTTGTATACATATAATAACAAAGGCGCACGTACACACACGCACAGGCACGCATAGGCCAACTTGAATTAATACAAACACAAGAACTATACACACGAACGCTACATGACAAGACAAATACACATGAGATCTACTTAACCAACGAAATTCACGCAAATAAAAAATACTAGAATTTTCTTTTCTTCTTCATATTTCTTTCTGATGAAGCTTAAATAAAAGCGAAATATGCTAAATTTATAAATGTGTCCTATTTGTTCCTTATCCTATCATTCTGTCGGATTCACTTTTATATTTGACCCATATTTTATTTCCATTCATTTTTAGCAAAAATTAATTTAAACAAGTTGTATTAATCTCAAGTAACAACATCTTAATTTAATTTTTATCGTATTTTCCCATTTTCCAATAATTTGTTGCACATCCAAATCGAAACTGTGGATAAACGGTCCAAATTTCATGTTTTTGATCTGTTTTTGTTTTAGCATTTTCGACTTTCTCGATTATTATCAGGAAATAAATATTGTCAGTATCGTAGATAAAAGATTTATTAGCTATATCCTAGTTTGTTTTGTTTTGTTTTTAAGCAAGACGACAAAGCCACTGGGATGCGTGGAGAGTTACAGTGAGTGAAAAAGACTAAGAAGACTTTAGTGAGGAGAAGTGAGGAAAATGACAATACAGGAATAGGATACAGGAAGATAGAAGATGGCGATTGAGGTTGCATTTAAATTGGAAATCGGAATGGAGTTCCACAGGCGAGAAGTGCAATAAACTATTAGAATATAACAGACAGTTGCATTTAACTAGTTCATCAGTAAAACGGTGAAATCTAGTTGCCAATCTAGCAGCACGCTCAAATTCATGCACTAAGGAAAAAGGCTCATTAGAGCAGTTGCCATGAAAATATTTGTCAAAAAGACAGAGGGAAGCCACAAAACGTCTCTGAGAAAATGGTTGAAGTCGCGATGCCATGTCAGGATTATTACATCTTTAAATTTGTTGAGAATCTCGAAATATATAGTAGGAACACCAGACCAGATATGGCAAGGATGGCCAACCTGTGGCGCATGCGCCATAAGTGGCGCATTGGATGCTTACAAGTGGCGCATTGCATCCTTTTGATGAAAAGAAACTGAGCCACTTCTACTCATTCATTTCAGTGATTTTATATTTACTGCACGTCTTTTGCGAAAGTGCTAAAAGGATACACCCCTGGTCATAAGCATATATTTTTCAAATAAATAGATTTTATTATAACTTTAAAATATGTCCATATTACAACACGTACTGAAAGGAAGTGAATGTTTGTGTGGCGCATTTAAATTAATCGTACAAAATATTGGCGCATGGAATCAAAAGGTTGGCCACTCCTGAGATATGGCATCAGTGTTCAATACACGGGCAAATGGTAGATTTGTAAATGTGCAAGATGTATTCTGACAAGAAAAATTATTTGATACGGCACAGTGAACCAAGTTTCGTTGCAGTAGACCTAACACTTTATTCAATAAATATAATCATTCCACTTCACATCAGTGGAAAAAACGAGCCCAAAAATGCACAAAGTGTTGTTCTCCTGGAGTTTAGGATCAGTCATTTTGATGACAGGCAGGAAAGGCTCTTTGGTTATTAAATGATAGCTGTTTTGTTTTTAAGGCGTTAAAATTTACAAGCCATTCCTTGCCCCAGTTAACCACTGATTGGAGGACCTTTTCTAGAGCACTTGTCAGTTTTTCTTTGTCGGACAGGTGTAAACAGTTGGTTCATCTGCATAAATTCCTTGTTGGGAACTGATGACATCGGGAAGGTCGTTGACGAAGATCAGAATCTGTGTAGGTCTAAGGATAGGTTCAAGGCGACTTTCATTACGCGATTTGTAAGGATCGATTGGATTACGCTAAGTATTTGTCCAGAGACACAGTAGCCATTGAACTTGTGGAGAAGACCAGCATGTCACAACCTATCGAACGCTTTTGAGATACCTAGAGCTTCGACGTTCTTATCTGGTATTTTTAGAACCTTACATTTGAAATTCAGATTTGATTTAGGGAACGGAATCTTTTCCCACACAGATACTAC